CAGAGAGCGTTCTCCCGAGTGTGTCTGCTGGGTCAGACTGGCCAGAGTGTTCTTCTGTCATGTTTTTCACGTGTTTGGCCCACATGCAGACAACACTCGGGAGACAGGAAGCAGATTCAGGGTTTTATTAAAGCTCAGAAATAAATTCAGAGAAACGAGAAAACTAAACAATGAGTCAGCGTCAGGCAGAGTCACGGGACCGGGGTTTGCACGAGCTGAAAAGGGAGAGATGAGTTAGACAGCGCGCCGCGGATGGGCCGCGCGTAAAGAGGTGCGTAAGGCTTACCACTGAGCTCAGAAAGCGCACTGGGGAGGTGGTGTGGAGGAGCGGACTCAGCGCTGCCTGGGTGAGGTGATCCGGTGACTGGGTGACCGATGAGCGGGCCGGGTAAACTCGTGCAGGATCCAAGCTGCGCCGTTGGGAGCAGTGATCAGCGATCAGCTGGAGACACCAGGCGAGCACTGGGGAAACGCCCGGAGCAGGTTTAGAGTCGAGGGAGCGTTCACACAAGGTTAACACTCTGGCATCCTCCAGCTGTCAGAGAGCTCCTTTTATAGCGCAGACAGGTAACCACAGAACGTGCCTCAGGTGTGTATCACGCCCACCAGTCAACTCCAGTCACCTGTGTAGAAAGCAGGGGCAGAAAAAGCACAACACTACCTGCTGAGTCCTGACAGAGTTAGATCTTGTTGATTTGTTTAATAATATCAACACAGATGATATGGTAAACCCACTTGACTTAATCACTGCTCTCTTTCTGTGCTCTGATGGTTTTGTCCAACAAGATCTGGTGTTAAAAATGTCCATGTGTCAGTTCTCAGTTCCTCTGCTGCTTCCAAACTGTGATACAAAGCAGTGCACCCTCATGCTGTGGGCTATGAGAGACATTGTTAAGAAGTACAGACCTCCAGATCTTACTGAATCAAAGGGATTCATTGAAGAAAGAATAGTTACTTCTGAACTTCCAATGGTCTCTTTTGTTAGACTGGGTGAGTGCTCCATGTCCAAATCAGAGATTCTCAATAAGCTCCTGAGTAACTCTCAGCAGAACCATGACACCTTTGTTCACCGCAACATGGAGTGTGGAGACAGTCCAAGAAGAATATCCAATGGACTGACAGAAATTACCTGGTACCTTCCCTGTGGAAACAAAAACATGGACATTTTCAGTGAGCTAGTAGCTATAGCTAACCTTCGTGGTGACATAGCTTCATTTGAAACACAATTCTGTTTTTTGTGTCAGACATCTGCTGCTGTTTTTGTGTTCTTCGATGAGCTGGAGCAGCTAAAGCCTGAGATCAAGTTGCTGAATAACAAAAACCACAAAGCAAAGATATACTTGGTAGCAAACCAACAAAACAAAAACTTCAGCAGTGATGATTTAACAAGGTTAGCAAATAATCTGGGGACAAAAAACGTCATGATAAAACAAACACAAACAAATGATGCTGCTTTTATCAGAGGACTCAGAAAAATAATCAAGGATGTGGTTTATGATCCCCAGATGAAGATGTCAGTAGAGCAGATGGCTGAAATAGCACCTGAACTGGGAATTATAGTTGACGAATACTCTCCAGAATGTCAGGATGGAAAGAGAAAGGCAGATGACATCACTGCAGAAATTAAAGACACATTCAAATACACTCAGGAACAGTTTCCTTTGCAAGGGCAAAT